GGGGGGGTGGGGGGGTAGGTGCTTCCTCCGGCCGCCTTGGGCCATGCTGCTGGGACAGGCCACATCTCTGTGGCAGAAAGAGCCCTTGGCCTCCAAGTGGGCCCCCACAGGTGCCTCCTCCTCCACCGCAAGGCGACCCCTGGCAGCCCTCCCTCCCATTGCACCGCTTGCTAGACAGGGGCCTCCAACCCCACGCGCTCTCCTTCAGCAGTCAAGAGGGGCTGGGCGGCCCCTTGTCCCTGGAGGGGATCCCCCCAGCCCGAGGGCTTCTCTAGCTCTTGCTCAGGCAGCCCTGCCATCGCCAGCTCTCCCGCCTCTCCCTCCCTGCTGATGGTCAGCAACGACAGCGTCCCGGGCAGTCCCACATCCCCCTCTTCCTCCTCCTCCTCCTCCTCCTGCTCTTTCCGCTCTTGTTCCAGCAGCAAAGGGGGCACCCCATCCCCACGGCCCGTGAGCAAAGGCGGCCACGGTGGGGTCCCTCGGGGCTCTGCCTCCAGCCGGTCTGGGGGGGGCGGGCTCTCGTGGTCGCCGTCCACGCCGAGGGGCACCTGAGGGCCGGGCTTCTCCTTGCTGGTTTGGGGGCTGAGGGGAGGCCTCTCGGGGAAGCTGAAGCGAGGGCAGCTCTCCGCGGACGTTGGGGAGGAGGGGCCCGCACTGGAGACTGTGCTGGAGGGGCCACTGCTGTCTGCAAGGGAAGGGCGCAAGGGTCATCAAGGGTCACTCTCTCGCCACCAACGACAAAAAACCCAAGGGCACCCCCTCCCCTGCCCCCTCCCCCCCTTCGGCTCAGGAGGCTCCTCAGAGCCTGAGCACCCTCCTCCTCTACAGGCCTCCCTCCCAACCACCCACAAAGAACACCAGACTGGATCCGGCCCCCTCCCCACCTTGTCTCTCACGCCCTCACGCCAGGAATGGCGATGCCTCAATCTGGCCCAGTTTCCATCCCCAGAGCCTGAGGCAACTCCCATGCCCACCCTAACCCTCCCCCCAGCCCCCCAAAGCAGCCCATCAGGGTTTCTTCTGCCTCCCAAATCCACCCCGAATCCTCTGGACACCAGGTCGGCCACTTACACCAGGGGGGCTTGTCCGACCGAGGCCGCAGGGGCAGAGAGGACAGAACTTGCTGTGGCCCCAAGGCGCCGTCTCCTGACCCCCGGCTGTCCATCAGGGGGCCAAAGAGTTCTGCAGAACCGAAGCAGAGAAACAACCTCAGGCAGGCGCGTAAGGGAGACCACCGCTGTTTCCCCCAGACCTTGTTGCTGCTTTGATGAAGGGTCTGGAGGGACACGAGACCCAGAAGGTCGCAGGTCCCTGAACAAGAAACAGGCCGGGCCGGACCGGGCCGGGGGGGCGGGAGCACCACTGCTAGCTGTTGAGACCATGGCTCCTGCCCTCACTCCCCCATGGGCTCACAGCCCCACAGAAGCTGGACCACATCGAGAGAGAAACGCTCCTCTGAAGAAAGAGGTGTGTTCTGCCACCCCGATTCAAACAGCCACCCAGGCTGCTGGCGGCAGGCAGGGGGCTGGCCTGTAGCGTGCGCCCCTCTGCGGGGATCAGGACCCTCTCATGGCAACAACTCTGGACACAAGGGTTTTATCAACCAGGGAGGGAGGGAGGGAGGGAGGGAGGAGCCCTGTCGGTCCCGGTCCGGGAAAGGCCATCCTGGCCATGGGGTGACCCAGGACCCTAACCCACACCCCCTGGCTACCTGTGGGAGCTCCTGGGTGTGCGTGGGTGCAGCTCCCGGCCACCGCCGTCAGGAAGTCGTTCACCTGGCGCAAGGAGAGCGAGTTGTGCAGGGTCTCCAGTGGGTAGATGCTGGGCACCATGGAGCAGCCTTCGAAACCTGCAAGCAAAAGGCAGACATGCCCCCCCCCCGCTCTCAGTGTTCAGTCCATCCACGGCAGCCTCCCCTGAGGGGGCCCTCCAGAGAAGCCACCCCACTTAATCCACACCGTGCATTACAGACACAGAGGCGCCCCTGCTGCCTGCCCCCCCCAAAACACACACATCAGCCTTCCCAAAAAAGCCAGCCCCAGCCCAGGATCGTAGGAGCAGGTGTACTGGGGGCGCGGGTCTTTCGAGGCCCCCACCCTTTTGGAACCCACGTCGTCCCCTGGGGCTCCTCGGCGCCACTGCTGAAGGCTGACGCCTTCCTTTTCTGGAAAGACCGGCTCAAAGGGATCTGTCGGTTGTCGGGGCTCAGCACCCCAGGAGACCGTGGGACCCAGGCTGTGTTTCCATGGGAATCTGGGTCAAAGGAGGACCCATGGCCTCAGGTGGCTCCCCCACCCCAGCCTCCAGGCACCGGACTTGCTCCTGAGTAGGGAGGGGGAGGTGAAGTAGTCCTGCTGGGGCAGCCGATGGAGGAGCCGTCTGGAAAGGAGATGCGCCCCTCTGCCCCCCCCCACCCCCCGTTCACTGTTCCGTTCAAGAAAGCAGCAAGCAGCCCAGCCTCGCAGCAGAAACCGGGCCAACCCCAGACCCAGCAGGCCACAGAAAGGGGGGCCCCTCCCTGCGCCACCTGGCATGTCCGATGCCAATGGGGGGGGGGGAAAGAGGCACCTCAGCCAGCCATTGCTCAGGGCCTCCCTCGTCTCTGTCCCACCTCCACCCCTGGGGTGGAGGGAAACCCCTGAAGAACAGCCCTCTTCCTGGGGCATCCAGCAACTCCCCCTCCTCACGAGAAGACACCAGGCCTGGGGGGCAGCAGCAGGGAAACACCCCCAAGGCAGCCTTGCCCCTTCTGGCCTCTAGCCCTCTTTGGACTGCCGTGCCCCCCCCCCAGCAGGCAGAGAGGGGCCGCCTCGCTCTTAGGCCAGGGAAGGGGAGCAGAGGCTCCGTCCTGGTCTTTCCGAAAACCCTCGGCTGTGGTCTTTGACTGTCTGGATAAAAACTCAGCCCCCCCCCTACACACACTGCAACACACACACAAGAAGGTGCAGGGTGGACAAGGACCCTCTCCCACCCTCCCACGAGGTGCTTCTCCCACAGAAGGCGGGAAAATCATCTGCAGGGATGGCACCACAGCCAAAAAGTGGAACGCCGTGCCAAGCCAGGCAGGGGAACCACAGTGAGTGGGCGGGCGAGGGAGGGAGGGAGGGAGCGCCGTGGCTGCTTTTGGTGCCCCCCCCGGGCCCTGGGTCCAGCCCCCGCGGTGTTTCTCGAGAGCAAGGGCCCAAGCAGAGCAGAGGCGGGAAAGCTCTCTCTCTCTCTCTCTCTCGGCTTCCCGGGGATGCAGAAAGCAAGCAGCGGCAGCTGCACCAGCTGGAGAGAAACAAAAGCCGGGCAGGCCAGCCTGGGGCCCCCAAGGCCTCCGGGACCGGCCCCTGTCCAGGCAGAGGAAAGAGGCCGACGAGCCCTTTGGCCAGTGGGGAGCGGGAGAGGAAGCCAGGCCTGATCGGGCGGCAGCATTCCTGCGGGGCCTCAGGGGACAGAAGGGAAGGGAAGGCCGTGGCACTCAAGACAGGGCCCCCAAGTAAGGTGAGGACGGCGGTTTCTGCCTGAAGCAGCCCAGCCCACAGCCGGGGAGGGCCAGGCCCCCCAGCGCCCTGAGCAGCCCGGGCAAGTCCATGGTTTAACCACAGGTGGCATCGAATCCCTCGGGCCCCCTGTCCACGCCTCTCTTTGGCGGCCCTCGTGTCTCTCTCTCCCTGAAGTCCCTGTATGGGCAAGCGCCCCCCCCCGGCCAC